CTCGTCTATACCAAAAAAAAAAAAAAATTACCGCGTTACGATCGAATATGACTTGTTGTGAACCTCCCATTTTCGAAACGTCAAAAAAACGTTATGAACCGAATTCTATGCACTTTTTTCAACCTACTTCACGTCGACGTTTACCTTATATATAATCAAAAGACGATTACAGTGCCTTCCATAATAGTACTATCATCCGAATCACGAAGCAAAAAAAAAAAAAAAATCATTATAATAGCTACACATTTTGTATTCTTTTTTTTTTTTATAAAAAAAAATTACTGTTGATTTTTTTCTCGTCCTGATATTTGCATGGTGATTTGATTTGGACGATAGCTTTATACATATATATATAATACATAACAGTACGGTAATCGACTTTTGAAAAGAGATTTAAACCGATGCCGAATACGCATGATACAGAAAACCGCGCAGATTCGGGCGATATAGAAAAGATGCTAAATCGACTTTTGAAAATAGACGTGAAATAGGTTGCTGTGTAATACAAAAAAAAAAAAATAGTCCGCGCGTAGATTATAATATGACGTCGAACCTTATTCTTTTTCTTCTCCTCTGATATGTTAACAAGGACCATCTTTGCCGTTTATTGCAATCGTTCTTCACTGATCGAATGTGTTATTTAATTTTATTAGGTCTTTCTTGAATGTGTCAAACGATCTCTGGCGCGGTCTCCTTTCACTTGTATTCTCCGCCATAAAATCAATCGAGCCTTTTACTACGGACAAATTGGAAAAAAACTCTGGACGGTTGTACGATCTTTATCGCTCATCACGGTTCATAAGTGGCTATAGGACCTACGGATACCCATAATATTACCAGTGGCGTCGAACAACGGACGGACAAGACCTGACCGTATTCCAGGGGTAACGGTGGGATTGCGGTCCATGGTGCGAAGTCACGTTGGACAAAGAGCGTTCGCGCCCCTAAATAAAGGGAGGTGACGATTCGACGCCACTGAATGCGATTATCACTGTACGCACTGCGGCGTTCGCACACGTTGTACGACTATCGTCGTTTGAATGCGTGATGTTTAATTGATACAACACGGGCGCAACGCGGACCCGTTATACACACTCGAATACCGAAATACCACGTTCGATCGATCGGATGTAAACAATCAAATAATATTATTATCGTAAAATAAATATCGTCTCGAATCCGAACGGGTAGTCATTATCGTGTAAAATATTATTATTATTCGTTCGGCTCGAGGGCATCCGCTCACACACACGCGCGAATACCGTATAATGGCGTTGGTCGTGGTCGCGTTAAAATATTATTATTATTATTATTGAATCGTATCATAACGCAAACTCGCAGCGTGGGAGACAATCCGGTGAAAAAAAAAAACTAAACAAATAATAATAAAAATAAAAAAATAGAAAACAACAAGTGGCGGAACAACAATGCGATTATTAAAATAATTTAATAACGTATCTACCGGTGTAATAAATAAAATATACTATTATCATGATATTCTTTTAATCTGTCTGCATAATACATAATGCGTATCCGAATTGGTTCCCGTTTGAAAAAATGGCCGCACCCGATTCGGGTCCCGGATCCGAGCGGTTTTTACAGGTATTGACGGTGCGCATGTCGGATCCCGATGAATTTCGGGTACGCCGGTTGCTTTTGGCGGGCAATACACCTTTAGTCGGGTTCAAACGTTTACAAGCAAATAAAACAAATCGTCTTTCTCATTTCTACAAACTAGGGACGGTCGATGATTTTTAGTTTAAAACGAAACGCGGGCACGATTAAACAGTTTTTGTTCGGCCAGATGAATTAATACTTTGGAAAACATTCCGATGGTATAGCCTCCGGTCGTTCAATGAATACTAATTCTATATAATATAACAGAAACAGTTTTAAAAATGTGTTATTTGTTTTCATTCAATACTAATGTACTAAATGCGCTAAGGTAAAACATTTTAAGAGAACGTTTTGACAAAGTCAAAACGATTTATGTTTGCCAATGTTTCTTTTTCAGTCATTTTCTCCTTTATAAATTGTTCTTTTTGTAAAATACATTCCCGTCGTTTTTTTCTTCCGTACTTCTCATTTTGATGTAAGCGTCTACTTGGGTACTTTTCAGAACTTTTATTTCACTCACTATTAACTCGAGACCCAACTGGTGTAGATTTTTGAACGTGGGACCCATCTCGGATTCGCCTGGAAAAAAAGTATTTCATGAAGATGAACCTAATTAATTCCCGTTTAAATTTGACATGATATATCCAGTACTGATCGAAAACCCACATTCCCCTTCCCATTCGTACAGACTTAGGATTGAAAACTTAGAACTACTTAGATTTTATATTAGATGCGTTTATATTCGGTATATATAGCCGTAGATACGTATATCAAGAAAGATTGACGTTATCCTAATCGATTGCGGTGTTATGGCAATACCCCGATACAATATTATTTCATTATCTTGATAACTGTAAAACATCCGCCATAGTATGATAAAAATTAAATTAAAATTTAAAAACGTGCTCCATTATCACCTGCATTTATTGGGTTTATTGTATCAATGTAGATGTTAAACGGGAATTGATTCGAATACACCCATAATATAATATACAGAATGGTATTCTTTTGTCGCGACCCGAAGGATTTCACGGAGGATTTCGAATGAATTGTTTGATTTTCGGTCAATCTTTATCAGTGGTTAAAATGGGTTGAAACTTCTAAACTAAGATAAAATTATCAGGCCCCTTGAATTTAAGTCTTCGGTGTCCGGAAGGGGTAGGCCGCTTTAGCCATCGTCACTGAGATATTTTCAACACAATTTTAAAAAACTCAAATAAGTTCGATACTTAATAATTTCTTCAATAACTATTAGATTATACGTTACTGTAATACTTTATTTTTATGGAGCAACCATATGCGCGTGATAATTTCTGAGGAGGAATGTGGGCGCTGATTATTTTAATCTTTTTTATGTATAACCATATCATAATTGAACAAATGCGTTATAAGACTTGTGTCCGTGATCGGTTTTAAGTTGTTTATCGGGAAAGACGCTCAATTTTTTTCATATCGAATCGGGTTTGAAATTGGGAAGGGTTTGCTGTTGCAAGTGTATAGGGATAAATTTAAACTGAGCTATACTATTTGTTCGGTCCCGGGAAGAAGTGTTTATGTCAATTTTGTATAGTTTTCAATACGAACGAATTGAATGTCGAATAAATCTGAACTTTCAGTATGACACGCGTTAGAATGTACTCACCTACACATTTAGTAGGGCGTTTAGACCGAAACATTGTAAAGGGAAAAAATTGACACGTAACGGAATTATTAAAAATAAATAAACGTCGACTTTATCCCGTTATATACTCCGTTCGTTGGAACAAAAGGTCGCACGACTACAAAAAAAAAAAAAAAAAAACACAACGGTAACAAAAAGCACCTAAATCCATATTACTAGAAATGTTCGTAGATAATGCGCTGATAAATCGTGATGGAAAAAAATCACCCTGTGTACGTAGTGAAGGCGACGGCGACCGCGGCAATAGGACACGATAATATTATATTTAAGGCCACCGGGTCGGATCAGAGCGCGTACAAATTGGTATCAATCATACGAGCGCAATCACGATAGAAAAAAATAAAAAATAATAATAAATAAATAAAAAAACAATATTATTATACCGTGTATATATTTTTTTTCTCTTTCGATATTATTATTATTATTTTACGACTATCCGTACGCGGGATACACGCCACGTTATTAGTTTATTTATTTATTTTTTATTTTTTTTTTTCATAATATTATTATATGCTTACCTATATCACCGGTATACCATTTGGGTGTCTGCTCCCCCCCTCCCCATTGAGCGCGGGCCATATAACAACGCGCTCAAATGTGTTTCAATTATAATATTATACACGTATATGTATATACAGGTACGACGGGTTATTATAAAACAGTATAGGTGTAAAACGCTGTGACGGCGGGGGGGGGGAGGGAAGAGGGAGTGGGTGGGAGAGAACGAGAGAAAAATCAGAAGAAAAAAACAAACGAAGAACGTAAGTTATTTCAATAGCTTAGAAAAAGATTTAGCCATAAATCCTGTTTGGTGTTTGGTTTTTTTAATTTTATTTATTTTCTTTCATTTCTCTCTTCTTTTCTTATTATTTTTTAATCAATTTAAACGTTTCTGTCGCGTACGACGACGACGACGACGGCGCGTAAGGCGAAATAACGATCGGATAATATATTACCACCAGTATAATATATAATAATATATACACACACGCGCACGTTGTTTTTTATTTTTTATTTATGTAAGTTTATACATACACACGTCGAACTATACGAGCTAGCTGCACAGGGACACGTTTTGTGGAAACTCGTTTTTTTCGTTTTTTTTTTTTTTCCCTCTCATATATATTATTGTCAATCGCGTCTCGGTCGTCGTCGCCGCCGGCGGCGGCCGATATACAGTGTCGTCGGGTATTTATAGACCCGTAAAACACGCGGTGAGATGACGCGACAGGGAACGCGCGACGCTCGCCCGCGACCGTTCGACGGGGTAGCGGCCGCGCGACGAAAATCCCACGACGGAAACACCGTCCCGTCGGTCCGCACGACGAGCGGCGGCGAGACGAAAACGAAAACCGCCGTCGTTTCACAACGTATTGTTTACTATCACGCACGGGGTATAGGGCAGTGTGCGGGGTCGCACGCACCACGCGCCACCGTGTCGCACCCGCGTGATTTCCCCCGTCGCGGCGCGCGGGTATTGTTGTCGGCCGTTCAAATGCGCCGGCCGCGCGGAGCATAAACGGGATGCGAGACGGCGGCGCGCCCGTGCGCGGCACGGCATTTCCGTTATATTTCCCCGCGAACCGCGCCGTAGACGTTCATTGCGGACGTTTCGCGTGCGCCTGATCTTCGCCGCGATGCCCGTCCGTTCGCCGTCACAGCGGACCGCGGGCGAGAATTCGATCGCGTTCAACTGTGTGTGATGAACTCGCACACCCGGGGTCGGTATAATGACGCGACGTCTCGGGGCCGCGCTCGCCGGCGTGATGGTCGGCAATTCGCGTGCCGGGGGCGCCGGCCGTTAAAACGGTCTGGTCGAAGAGGAGAACTCGATATCGGGCAAACGGCACGTCGGGCGGACAGTGTTTGTGGTGCGAATACCGCGGTGGAAATACGTGAACAAGCGGTGGAACCGAACGTAGACTGTATACGAAGAGAAGCGACGGAGGAAAGTGATATGTGGCGACGGATTCACTCGTGTATGGCTGCAGGTCTTAGTGGCCGAAATCCACGAGTAGGAGGAAAAGAAGGCGCGTGAGCGGTTAAGAAGTCAGCTAACGATAATGCACTTGGCGTCCGTGTCGTTCAAACGAACGATAAAACAAAACAAATGTAAAAAAAAATTTAAAAAAAATTCTTGAAAATAGGTTTCAGGAAAAAAACGCCAATTATAAAAAAAAAAAAAAAAAAAGCGCACAGATGAAAATACTTGTTTGAGACAAAAATACACAATTTAACTCGTTATCGGAAGATGTATTGAAGTATATTATAGGTGTTTTCAACAAATGTGGGCGGACCTCTTTAAGGTTCTTAAGAAAACGAATGCATTTCGCATTATGATTTATGTAAGAGAACGATATGAATTTTTTAATAAAAAGCTGTAAGTACTCATTGCAGTTTATCGCAGTTTCGCGTCTGTAATATGAGCTAGCTGACGAGTTTTACATGAAGTACCTATATAAAATGTTTGACAAAAATTGAATCGCGTTCATCGTTTATTTTAATGACGTTTTTCGTCCCCCCCCGTCAATCGAAAGATTGAAGAATATTATAAGAGTAAAGAAATTATTCTACAAACTCTCGAGTCAGCGGTTTTTTTTTTTCCTTTTTATCATTTTCTCCGTTACCTGCTTGTATGTATATCAATCAACACGACAATGTTCAGATATCTAACGATGAATGTCTTATCTGCAGTTTAGTTTATTCAATTCCGTTATACATGTACGCGAAAAACAAACGCCGAAACTTAGTCAAAAACTTTTATTTTTCATCCAATTCAGAAAGTTTGAAAATTTAAACGTCATATATATTGTAATACAGACTTCTGCGTGACGTCTCGCGAATCATAGAATTATAAATGACTGTTATCGCGGCGAAACGGTATTTACCGTACGTAGATCAATCTGTAATTGAAACAAAAACGAACGAAAAAAACCGTGTGATAATACGATAATAATCGAAATTTAACACATCGTATTTTATTTTATCAGCAACACACACTCAATCAAATAACAATCGCAAAGCAAATGAAAACTCTGTTAGACGCAATTAATTCCGTGCTTCTTGTTGTACACAATTAATTATGGCTAACATTGTGTCGAGTCCCGGACGTTGAATTGTGTCCGGTGCATTTTCGGTAGTACGGTCGAATTAAGTGTGGAGATACGGTATTGTATAAAATGTGCACAGCAAAGCCTGCGGAACATCGCAAACCGCGTACAATAACGGTCGAGAAATTGTTTTATGGGGCACCGATAATGACGGAGTATAAGAATAAACAATTTTTCAGATTCGTATCATTTCGGTTTTCGCCGGCGACTTCGTATCATAACATTAATAAAATTTCTTAAAACAACCATTGTAAAAAACAGAAAAGAAAAAAAGACTGTTTTAACACTTTAAACAATACAAACGTGCACGCGCACTTTTCGGGAGACTACTCGGCGAACCTTGTCGTGATGTTTCCGACGGGACATTTTTTTAAGGAAGTTTTCTGCGTCCCATTTAGATACACCGTAAAGTTCGTTGGATAAGCTCAGTACAATACGATTTTGTTTACTGTGTCCGCCAGAAAATTAATGATAAACGATTGCGGAATTATTGTTTTGTAACAGAAAAAGAATTGTATTTTATAGATAAAAAAAAAAAAATAAAATACCCTCAATGTCGAGGGAAGCGGTAAAGGGATAAAGCCCGAAAGTTTAGTAGGAAGCGCGGTGTATTTGTTCGTGAAATTTTGCAAGGGTGAGGGGCGAGCGGACGCGCGGGGCGGATATTTGCTAAAACGCGTGTCCCGGCGGTCTGGACAGAACGCTAAAAGGCCGAAATGCTGATTGGATTCAATTCAAACAACCCGAACGTATTTGTTTGATTATACGGGATTCAATAACCCCGGTTAAGGGTCTGAAGAACCGACGATATTGTATTATCTTGGCGAATTTTACCCGCTGCGAATTGCGTACGCAGTATTCGGGTTTCCCGTCACGACGCACTGCATCGCGTTAAAACGACTTTCGGCGATGCCGACCGAAATCGTATAATATCCCGCAATTTCGATTAATACCCACGTGCTTTGTGCGCGTATATTTTATGAACGCGCGCCATCGTAATAACGATGAAATAATATTATGCGTATAAATAATATGATATTACACACACGTACCGGCTTTGCTGCAGGTACCGACGTCGCCTAGAATCGGTTCGGCTTTCATTGTACCCGCCCGGCGTGCGCGTACGCGTATCACAACAAACGTCGAGATGCGCACTCGCTCGCGGCCGTTAGTAATACGCGTGAAAATCGGGCGACGGTATCATTAGTTTTGCGCACGTTTTGAAATTTCCCGGTTGAAACCTGGAACTCGTTCGCGCGCAAAATGTTCACCCGTCATTCGCTAACGCGGTAATTACGCCGTACGTATTATGCGCCAGTATTTGTGTATTGTAACGGCGTTTTGAGGATTTACGATAAAAAAACCGACGGATTGATTTGAAACCGACAGAAAAACAACGTTGAGTAACGCTCTGTCGTCGAAAAGAATAACAAAAAGAAAATAATTGAATAGGTGAATATATATTAATTATGTACTTGCGCGGACAATAATCCGCGAATCGTGTTCAAGGTAAATCTTTAATTAAAACAAATCCGTAATAAACGACAAATTCAAATGACCGCTTCTCCTCACCCAACCCCCCTCCCCCCCAACCGATTTTTACCGTAATATCATTGATTATAAATATTTTCAAACACACAGCGCACCGATAGCGCACTATTAACACCACGCCAGATAAGTAAAAATATTCGCTGACACAGTCCTAAGTCTGTGTGAGCGAGAGAAGAGAAATTTTCGCGCGAACGAGTGGCCGCGCTAGAAATAATATCACGCGCGCAAACGGGTTGTGATTTCGGTAAATGTGGGCTCGAAAATAGACGCCGTGGGAATAATATAAACCTATGAACGGTAAGTTGTGCAACGTATATCAATAAAATTGAATAATGCATTTAAGTATTCAAGTGTTGAAAAAAAAAAAAAAAATATCAAATTAAAAAAACCTACGTGACATAAAATATAACACTTGACGTTGACGATATGGCTTTATCGCGATGGCGAGTTATTCCGTTATTAAACACGTTTAAAAAAAAAAAAAAAAAAAAAAAAAAAACAATTCCATGTACCGACCAATTCCAGTAATTTTAACGCGTCACCCCGAACAATCTCGACGGACGATTAAAACACCAAATTCGTTTTTAAACTAAAGGTTTATACCGGACAACACACCGCGAAAATCATACTCCGAAAAGTCGATACTGTTCGCGGGTCGACCGGTAGTGGGTAGTTGGGACGGTAGCGAGGATATACAGGCGCAATTCAGTTTGTGTACTGCTGTATTAAATGATCAATTAGGCTGTCAAAGTCGTGCGCATCCAAAATACACGAGCCCGCGGTACGTTACCCGGGCCACAAGTCTCCGGTGGTCTCGGGTTTGTTCGCGGTATATCACGTTCTTTACCTACGCGTTTAACTTTCCGTTAACGGCCTTTAGTTGAAACTACTAGGTCTCCATGGTCACGCTTCGTTTATATTTCGTTAAATCGTATTGAGTATATAATATTTTTAACGATTTTTTTTTTTTCATCGTTCTTTTTGAGGGCTACTTTTGAAAAGTCCCGGTATACCGTTCGCGGCTACCGTATACGTAACAATAATATTATTTGTAATACGAAAATATCGAAACGATTATCATAATAATTGTAAGCAAACAAATGCAAAACGCATCAATACGGGCCTTTTCCCGGTATCGCGTTAAAATTAACATTTTATTCCGAGGCGTAGCGCCCTACCCACCTACCTACCTACCTACCTACCTACCTACCTACCTGCCTGCCTACCTACCTGCCTGCCTACCTACCGGTATTCAACGGCCGGGTAACGAAATACAAAACGACCGTGCGCGGCGTATGAACCTCCGGTGGTTCAGGAATCCGGATTTTACGGAACCGACGATATTATACACATTATATTATAAACGCGCGGCAGCGTATATAAAACACACGCACGGTGCACCTTGAAATCCGTCACGATTATGTTATTATTATTTCTGTAAACACTTCACGATCCCGGTGCGCGTCCCCCGCTCCCACACCTCCCGCCGGCCCGTCGTGCGCGTACGCGTTATCTTTCTATAAACGAGGCGAGCGTACGCATATTGAAACTGTGTACAATGGGCCGTTTAAACGAATATCGTATATGCGATAATAATGATAATGTAGAAAAAAAAATGATGAAAATTGTCGAGTTGAAAAAACATCACGAGTGGTTTTACGCGCCCGCTCGGTACGCCGAACGACAACAATAATAACAATTATTGTGCTCCGCGGGCATCGATTTCGCGCGCCAACAGGTGGGCACAATAAGTGCCGTCCCCGGAGCGGCCGGAATGCGATTACACTCGACGAGACCCCTTTTTTTTTTTTCTTCGAGAAACTACGTGTAAAAACGCAGACAATACCGTTTCGTCTATCCCGTCCGGCCGTGCGTCTCCTCGGAAAAACGAACTTACGCGTACGGGCGGGCGGGTACCCGCCCGACCCCACGGAGGGCATTTTAATCCGCGCGACGAGATTTCTGTCGTCTGACGGCGGCGGCAGCTGTTCCCGAATGCGCGACCGGCACGGTTCCTTGGGAGCGCGAGCGCTCGCTACTTCGGGCGACGGTTGTAAAGTAAACACGTCGCCGGGAGATCTGCCGGTCCCGATAACGAACGATATTATTGTCGCATTGTTGTTTTCCGCCGTCGGACGGCAATACGAATAATCGCAACGACAATAATGGTTTCGAACGCGCGCGCGGGGAGCGGGGAGGGGGGAGGAGGGAACCGGTCTCCGGCGGTTTTCGGCCGCGGCCGACTAACGATTTTCGAATGTCGCGGCGCAACCGTTCGGCCCCCCCCCCCCCCCCCCCCCNCCCCCCCGCCCCTACAATGGTATCCGTAGTACGGTTTTTTCGTTTTGTCAACGCGTGTGTGTGTGTGTGTGATGTA